ACGCAGAAAAATTTGACGATTCCAATGATATATAAAACTCATTTTACGTATTTTTGTCGCTTAGTTATGTTTGCCTTTCAAGCGTCGATATTATAAATTGACCTTTTATGGAGGACGTTTTTTTAAATAAGAGAAAAGGGACAAGCGCTGTTGCTATGGCCTTAGACACTCGAAATTTGTCCAAACTGAATGTTTGGCCAAATTTCGAGTTCCATCTTGGAAATCCATTATTTCCGAGCACTCAAGACTTTATTCTTCTGGATTACGCATAGGATAATAGTAGATATTTTCTTTTTCCATTATTTATGCTTTTGAAGTTAAGAGCTTGTGACAGTTGACACTACCGAACTGACACTAACCGTAACGCTAACTATAACCGCCCAAAATCGGGCGGTTATGATTAGTGTCAAATATGACGTCATTTTGACCAGTGCAAAACTGGTGTAGCGAATATCATGAACATCCGAAGACGTAACCATCGGGAATGTGCTGGTTAAGGTTTATAGTTAGTTAATGTAACTCATCCTTAGTAAATTTTGAGATTATTCCAAATATTACCATTTCAAATAATTTTAACTTTAACGGTAACCGGCGATATGGTGCAACTCACCCTTAGAATAGTTAGTTAACATCAATGCTCCTATTTTATCCTAGACGCAATAGAACACAATAAGTGCGAAGTATGATAGTTCAAACACTGTTATAACATACTCAAACATGTCAGCAGCATCAAAACAATAACATTATGTTATCTCTTATTATCGTCCGCTAACGATAGCAGACCTAACATCGAACAGCGTGAGAAACAAAGCACGTCGTAAATTACAGAGAAATAAATTACCTTCCCATCTGAAATCGAACATAAAGCCGCACAAAAATATTACACTATTAACATAATTGCATTCATAGTTAAAGAAATTAACGTCCTCGATTGTACATATCGACAAGAACCACACACTATCTTTTTGTTTTAAAAAGATACTAAGACATAAAGATAGAGAACTATGTACACGCAACTGATGTTACGCAAATACAAAAGCAACCGTATTTTTCAGAATCAAACCTTTCGTCATCAACAAATTAATAAAAATCTATTACGAACACATCGTTAAAATAAGACTTAAAACAATAATTACTCTAATTAAAACATTTAGTAGAAGAGGCAAAAGGAAGCCGAATCGTTGGAAAACTGTAAGCGGCTGAAAGGTCAAACGTCCCAGTTTAAAACTTGGCAACGCCCACTTTGCCTCGGCCCTGAACTTGTGCTCAAATACCTACCGCATTTGTGACATGTTAATGACGTTACTATTGGGTAACTATTTGATTGTTAACATAGGTTCTCATTGTCGAAACACACGAACAAAGCATGAAGTAAAATTTAAATTCGATCATAAATAAAATCTCCCAGTTAGAGTTGACCTGCTGATCCACTCACGGTTTGCTTGATTAAAGCAGATCAGTGATTCAGATCTTAGATCAGATCAATTTATAGAGACCTGATCAGCATGAAGAATGATTTGTGATTGCGTGAGTCATCGGTATGTTCGTGGATCGGCTCCCATAAGTATATGTCAATGAGCCGTGAGCTGCTGTTAATTGAGCCATAGCACAAAGGTTCCAGATCATGCTGACTGATCCGGTTTAGAGCTAATTTACTCGTCCAAGTCTATTATAATCGTCTCACTCAGTTTGACTCACTCGAGGCGAATGTCTTTCACCTTCAAATTCTTATCTCTGTTTATGCAACTCCAGTGAAAAGAGTAATTTAAGATATTTTCTATGCACTTACGTCATTTGTTTTGTATTGAAGTTGCGCATGGTGGTACATTTTACAAAGACAAATTGGACTTTACTCCCATGTGATAGGGTTAATATTTGAAGAATAAACTTTTTAAACGTGACACTTTAGTAGGATAAATTACGCTTACATAAATTCTATGAAAAAGTTGACACCATGTATGAATACAGCACATTTTTCCTTACAAATTTTAATTTTAAATCATCGCAAAATAATCATAGCCTTATCCTTAAAGTAGTCTCAATTTATTGTAGCAAAAACTACCACGAACTTAATATAATAGTATATGCAGTTTTTATGTTTATTGTCTTTGATATTATGAATTTAGGACTTTCCTATTTGCGAGCAGCATGGTGACACTAGCTTGGCCCCTCTCCGGACAACGCACCGTGTAGACTACGATTGATTCGATCAGCTTACTGCTATGCTGATCGAATCGGTAGAATCAAAGATCGAATACTGCAAACTAGTAAAACATACCTTCTGAAGAAATATCGACTCAGTAACTTTTTGAGTGTTTTAATTTTTTGAGAGAAACTCATAAGCTTAAGTTCTAAGAACTATAAATATTAAACACAAGTTTTAAATAACATTTAAAACTGTATTTAACATAGAATATTCTCGAAAGTCTAAGGTAAACATTATTCTCAAAGGTAAAACGTTGTCTTTATATTTGTAGTTTTAGTTAACGTGGGCGCTTACTCGGAAACATTGGGGTAGAGTCAGGCGGCTTTCTAAAAACCGATAGCGAATTTACATGAACTGCTGTTTCTTGGAACGGCGGTAACGGTTTAGTTGAGCTAATTTATTTACTGTGATCATATTGAGATTATAGCATTTTGAAAAATTGTAGCTTAACTTTTACTGAACAATTTAGCGTCAACTTCTACACTATACGCCATTAACTTGCACGAGTAACTGGCATGCAAGCATATCAGTAGCTAATATACAGCGTCTACTATGTTCCAAGGTGACAGGACAGAAGTTATTTAGTCTGTGCAACCGCAGTGGCATAGGTATAATTATTATCTGTGTTACTAATTAGATCAATGTCCTCATGTTATCTTCGTCATTCGTCGTGTCCTTGCGATTTTAAACATAATCAAATATTTATAAGTGTCAAAAAGATTTGTTTGCTGTCACAAAATCTTATGCTTATGGTTGATAATTATAATAATATTTATAGCCTGTCCCACCACTGGCTGATAGAGGCTCAGCTTAAAAATGACGTCTCCGTCAGATAAAGGAACAAAACCCGATATTTCCATCACATATTTTACACGTTGAATTGTTATCAGACAATTTACAATTTGATAGGACAGGTCCTAAGTCTCAAAGTAAAGTTTATTTAGAAACTCACTATTTACTACACATGTACGACAAACTTTACAACAACTCAAGTAAGTCAATTTATCCTGAAAACATCACAAACTTTACACGAGCACTCTTCCGTTGCACTAAATGAAGATGAAGAAAAAGACAACATTTTCAAACACTACTAAATACTTTTGAAGCAAGACATTCGCGACTAGCGTTACGTGTACATTATTAGATACCGTATGTAAATTATTTAAAAAGTATGGATGGATTACATGAAAGAGATTGTAAGAAGGGAGTGAATTCAGATATCACTGCTAATAGATGGAAGAGCACATACTTCTCCGAATCTTCGTATCACAAAGGACAGTCCAAAGTAGTGGTAAATCATATAAAAACTGTTGTTACTTTTAACTGCAGACTTCTATATCATTTGACAGGATGTTATACAGTAAACCCGTCTTCACAAAAGGAATATTGTTATAACGGCAAGTAGGAAGTTAAATAAACTAGATGTTTGTTATAATAAACTATTTCTTTT